GAATACCCCCTGGAGTGATGCGCTGTGGTGGGCTGACCCCAGCAGCAGACCCCACCACTGCCCTACAAAAGAAAGTCAGCATGTTCTGCTTCTTCAAGGATGCACCAGGCTGCAGCTGGGAGAGCCAGTCGGCCCCTCTGGCTGCTCATGAAACAGGGAGGACGTTCATCTAACACATGGTGACGGGTCAGCCACCCCCACGCTCCCACCCCACCATTTTACCCACAAAGTCAGTACCAGGCTTTTCTTTGGGAGAAAGAGGCTCATGGAAAAGCCCAGGTCAGTCCCACAGCTACTCCCCACCCTTCCTGCAGTGCATACCACGGGAAAAGCAACCCCGTTTGGGATGTGCTGCACCTCCATCTGTCACACACCTGCAGAGAGAGGGGAAAGTGCTTACACAGGACTCAAGGTGTCTGAGCAGAGTCCCCAGAGAGGGGCAGTGCCACCAGCAGAGACCAGACCGTGCCTGCAGGACAGGGACCAGCCACCCCAGAGGGGTCAGGCAGCCTGCACACGCCCACGGTTCCAGAGCTCCTCCACTTCTCTGATCAGCCTTTGCAACAGAGACAAGAAATGAGGTTGGGCTGCTCGCTTTATCCCTCTAGGAAATGGGGTCACCAGAAGGGGGCTTGATGAAAAAGACAGAAAAAAGACTAATAAACGTATATTCTCTATCCTCTATAATCTGTCCACCTGCCTCAAGGCAGCAAAATAAGGGAAAACAGCAGTAATCTGCTCTCACTACACACGTGCAAGCCCGTCTGACAACAGATTTACTGCCCCAGCCTGCACAGGAGCGAGCACCCTCCCATATAGAATGTGTAAACACAAGTCCACAGCAATGCTCCCCTCTTGAGTGAAAGAGGAGAGAAAGTTTATGGTTATGTTGTGGCTAATATCTGCCTTTGTGTAAAGTCATCTTTCTGCAGCCTGGATGCCACCTGGGTGCCTGAGCAGGTGTCTTGAGGAGGACGTGTTGCAGTTGTGGCCAGGGCTGCACCGTTGCAGAGGAAGTTGAGCTGCCCGAGCCCTGCGCTGAGAGGGACCAGAGCACGTTCCACTCCGGGGCAGAAGCTTTGTGGCTGTCAGGTTGGAAACGCAGTCTCAGAAAATAAATACAGAGTTGTCCAGGGTGTACAGTGCTTAATGATGAGCTACTGCTTGCTCGCTTTGCCCGTCACATGTTACCAGAGCTGTTCAGGAACTGCCAGTCTCGCTATTGGTTTAAAAAACACATAAAACCATTAAAACCACCACATTTACCCACCCCCCACAGCCTTTAATCCTCTGCCCCTAATCTGAATCCGTTGTAAGTACAAGCGGCGCATCTGAACAGCCTCCACCATCACTGGGGGGTATAAAAACAGGTCAGGAATTATTTTGATTCAGCTGTTTCGGATGTGAGACACCAGGAGCGGTCTCTGAAGTTCCCTTCCCAGCACCTTTCCATGACTGCACAGCTGTGCACCTCCAGCCCCTCTCCTCAGCTCAGCCCCCAAGAGTTTGGCAGAAGGAACAAAATCTTTCCTCCTCCCAGATGTGCAGGCAGAGGCACCCTGAATGGAAGTGGCACTATCAGAGAGATAAGAAGGAGAAAATCATAATTTCATATTGATTGCATACACTTATCTAGCCCCCAATGCAAGCACCCTATAACCAAACAAGTCCCTCTCCGTCTATAAAGCAGATTTACAGCAAAGACACATCATCATTCTGATCAGCCCACTGAAAGTTTAATAATCATTTATCTATTGCTCTAAACAGATGCAATAAATAAAGCCAAACATAGCTGAACTACTGGCCTCTCCTTTGTGATCTGGAACAATAACAGCAGCAAAGAGAACTAAAGGAAAAATGTCAGTCTGCTATTTTCCAGTGTGCCTCTGGTAGGAAGCAGCTGTGGAAAGGTTTTTGTACAAGAACGGATGAAGCCAGCTCATTAGAGACCTGACACAATGGCACATGTGAGCAGGAAAGAAAGGCTGTTCTTTATCTTTCATTGAACATCATCAAGTTATGCTCAACCAGATTTTTTTTTTCTTTTTCAAACCCACATAGTTTTGTGTTCAGGCAACTTCTACAGCAGACACCTCATGAGGAGTGTTTATTGAAATGAGTCCCTCTGCTCACACAGACACAGCAACTCCCCCTCTCTGAACTGAGATGTTCTCTCCTGGGGAAAGCAACACCTGGGAAACAAGGTGGCTCAGACCTTCTGTTCATCCCCAGGCTTGGGGACAAAGCCAAGGCCAGCAGTGACCCTTTGCCCAGGTGACAGTGCCAGCAGGGACCATTACACTCCTCTCTGGCCAGGGCCCTGCCACCGGCTGCTGTCACCAGACTTCCACGGCTTCCAGCCCCTGTGACAGGCCGGCTCAGCTGCTGCACACAGCGATAGAACAGAAACCAGGGAGCTGGGTGCGAGGAGCCTCCCTGCTCCAGCGAGACTCACCGCAGTGCCGGCTGCCTCCCCGGCAACCCGCCCTCGCTGCCGGGAGCTGGGGACGTGGCACCAGCCATCCTCCCTATGTCCCTGCACATGTAGAGCCCAGCACGGCTGAGGGACAGCCGGGCTCACAGGCCCCTGAGCTCAGCACCAGCCCCGGGGTTCACCCATCTGCCTCCCATCCAGCTCCAAGGACAAGGTTCTGGTCCAGCCTGGGATAGATGAGATCTGCACAGCTGACCCTTACCACAGCTCTGTAAAAGGCAGAAAAAGGCACTTTTGCAGTGAGCACGTCTGTAGAAGCAGGCAGGGCAGGACAAGCGCTCCTCCTTTACCCTGTGGGACAGTCAGGGGGTGCTGGGGCTCCAGAGGCAGCATCCCAGGAGAGCACGGACAGCCAGTCATCCCCAGGACGGCACAGAACAGCTCCCGGCACAGCCAGGCCCCTGCCTGCTGCACATGGGGAGATAAACACAGCCATTTGTTACCCCACTTTCAAAACCTAAAACCTTGAGGAGCAGAGCACAGTGCAGCACACCAGGACCGGAGCCGGTTCTCCACCGCGATTAACAAGCCCAGACAAGAAGCGTCACCCCCCGGCCCCTGCCTGACACGTCCTGTGCTCACAGCTACTCTCACCCTTCCAGGCTGAAGCCACAGTTAATCCCAACTAACAACCTTTCTTCAACACACGAGGAGAGTGAAGTTTGTCCAGACAACACCTTCCAGGGTTGCTGTGTGGGCAGGCAGAGCTCCCTGCTCCAGGCAGGCACGGGCAGGCAGAGCACCCGCTGCTGCTGGCAGCCCCCAGCACCAGGGAGCAGAGCGGGCAGAGGGCTCGCAGCCAGGGCCAGCACCCATCAGCTGCCTCTTCCACACGGGAAAGGGACCTGGATGCAAAAGGTGGGCTATGTTCCCAAACAGGGACACGCTCCTTCCCAGGCTCTTCGCAGGAGCACAGTCATGCTCAGTGCCGACTGCTGGGAGAATTCATCCTTATACACAGCAGAAATCAGATTTTGATCTACAAAAAGACTTTGTTTTCTTGCTAAGCTAGCAGAGGGATTCAAAAGAGAGGCATTAAGGAGCAGGGGAATGCCACAAGTGTGAAGCAGTTCAGTAAAGGAGAGCCAAGAAACACTGATGTAGAGGACAGACTCACGGGCTGGGCTCAGAGCCCAAGGAGCTCGTGCTCCAGCTGTACACTCCTGCCTCTCCTGCTCTGTCCAGGTCCTGCCTCGGGTCCCAGGTTAGAGCACAGGTCCATGAGACAGGATCTGATCACTGCTGCTCACAGGAACCTCCCCGTGCACTTCAAGGATGCTGAAAAACAAAATCCATTTCACTGACGCAATCATATGCAAACAAGTTCGTTAAAGCAGCGCTCCGCAGCCGTCCTGCGTCAGATGGAAGCACAAAATGGGTTTAATTCGTAATTCTTGTGTTGCCATTTAAAAATACCAGTGTGCAAAGCAGGGCACGGAGCAACGCACAGATCCAATTAAGCTGCCTAAGAACAAGCATTCCCTCACCCCTTCCACAAGTTGCCAGGCATGACCTGGTTTTCATACTTTCACCATTTGTACTCCCGTGGAGGCAGTGGGGAAATAAAGACCTCGGAGAACAAAGAGAACATGTTTTGGCA